CTAAATGTGGTACTGATGTACAAACATATACTACAAAAATACAATATACAACTTTCAGATGTTTAAAAACACCAAAAGAAAGTGCACGAGGTCAATCACAAAGTCTGAGTTTACACATTATCCAGGAATGTTTTGTATCACATGAAATGTGCAGCTCGAATAACGAATCAATTATTTTTTTTCTGTGTCGAGTGTCTTTTTGATTGTCCTGATGGGTGCTGGATCTTTTTCTCTGACCACAGGAGTTCGCGTACCTATCAATTTTACCGAAATTTTCAGTAAATAAAAAAAATACGTAATACCTATAATAATAACACAAGGAGTGCAACGCATTTCAGGTCACCTGGGTACCCCTCGCTTAATATCAAGGCTGTCGCACAATTAATCTTCAATCGAAAATTATAAAACACAAACCAATCTTTTTGGAAGGGACCATTCTTTATGGCTCTTAATGCATAAGATTTCAAACTCATGTTTTACAGCAGCAGCGGTGACATTTCTCCACAACTTCGCTCAAATATCCGTTGTCCGCGACGCCATGACGTGACGTCACGGGCGCGTCCATTTACCCAAAAAGGAACAAAACTGCTGAAATGCTAATCTAGATGATTGCGGTCATATGCGAAAATAAACCAGAGACAAGTTAGTAGACATTCAAGAAAATTTAAAACGGGAGGTACAAGTACTTGTACTCGTAATTAAACGTAATATCGTTATCTCTAGTTAATTGTGAATGACTGTTTATTTTTGTTCCTTTTGGGTAAATGGACCGTCCGTGACGTCACGTCATGGCGTCGCGGACAGCCGTTGCACTCCTTGTGTTATTATTATAGGTATTACGTATTTTTTTTATTTACTGAAAATCTCGGTAAAATTGATAGGTACGCGAACTCCTGTGCTCTGACTCAGAGTATCTTGCTCGAAAGTTGCTGCTTGTGAAGAACTTGATTAATTTACGATGTCGAAGATACGTGTATATTTGATCATGAATTATCGAAGAACCACTACTGGGTACCACTGACAATTTTGATTGTGAAGTGTAAAACATCGAGGGTAACCTTACTTGAAGGGTAAGGCTGAACACATGTTCTTCCAGGAGTTCCATGTTACGTTCATCTTGTTTCCCGATAGAGATGAAGAAATGCCTCGCTACATCATTGGCAACAATGAATATAGTGCAGTTGTTCACAAGTTTGAGTTTCATAGTGTAGTATGAATAAGTGTTTGCGGAACGTTGCCTAATCTGGCAGTGAGGGCCTTTAAATGATAAGTAAATCCTCAGAGATTTTAACTTTGCAGTTTTCACAGGTTCTGTTCATTTGGATGAGTACGGATGAAAGACTACCCACATGGACAATAACCTGGCTTGTTATTTTCTCTACGTCGCCAATGTTAGTAATGCTTGCAATATCAGTTTTTGGTGTTGTTGAAAGGTATTTAATTCGATCGAATTCTTTTACTGTAATATTTTTGAATTCGAAAGATTGACCGCATTGAACTGAGGTTATGTGGCTTTCCCACAGGGAGAGTGTGGGTGTTTCTGATTGATCCAAAACATTTGCATTGGCAAGTAGAATAGACTTCCCTGTCTTCGTTGCAATGTTCTTCTGTTCATCGATCTTCAATATTTTACATTTCACATTTACCTACAAGTAACATAATAAATAATAATAGTATTAACAAATACTCCAGCTTTCTTTTATACTTAAGTATTAAGCTGTTATTTTAAAATTGACATTTTAAATGAGATTTTCTTTCGATGTACATTTCATATTAATCCTTCTTGTCGTGGTTTTGTCGAAAAAGAGCACGAAAAATGAAAATGGGGTATAAAAAAGGCATGCCTTAACACAGTACAAAAAGTATTTTTCATGTTTTAAAATAGAAAATTGTTACCACTGAAAACAAAATTCTTTTATATATTTTTGATCTGAAACTTTTCATGATTCTAGAACCAGAAAACACTATAAAATGCCAGCTTTTTAACAAGAAAAGCAGTCAATCAAATGAAAAAAAAAACATATTTATCATCATGAGATTTGGAGATTATTTTATTTTACAGAAAAGTTACATAATGTGCACTGTTTTGGAGTCAATGCACGGCAAAGTACTGCTTTGAGGAAAAAAAATGGGTACATAAACGGCTACATGTGACGAGAAACCACGACAAACCATTTGGGAACTATCACCAAATTGTATTAAAATCCTACAAAACTGAATTAACTTTTAAGTCAGTGAAATAAACTTAAGTAAATTAAGAATCATTTTAAAAAATATTTTTGTTGCCTCGTTACACAATTTCACATGATAACAATGCAAAAACCCATGCGAGCCTAAAAGGTGCATTGAGCTGTATTATTTATCAAAGTTGCTTACATTGCCATCACTTCCGATTTCCTTTTAATGCCTCTAACCCTTACTGTACTGCCTATTGCCCACATCCAATAAAATGCAAGTATAGCAGTAAGTTTAACCGTTTATTGCTCCATGTACATAATGATGATGTTGATCATAGCAATGAAGTGGAAATGGTTAGATCTGAAACATTACAATAAATCAATAAGAACAGAGAATACAATAGTTGACATTTCATGCAAAAGGTAAATAAATGTAACCTGACGAATGACTAGAACAAATGACTAGGACTATTACTCTATCTCATAACCTTTGTATAGGCTTAAACTTGCATAATCAATTGACATGTGTTAGATTAACTTGATCAATCTATGTTTTACAGCGTGCCATTAAATTTCTGCATAATCTATGTACTTAACACAATCAATGTTCTACAACATGCCTTCAAATTTTCCCGCACTATTTCAATACTATAGATGATTACATTTCACATGGAATAATAATACTAGACTAGGAGAAAATTACTGAAATATTTGAGAAATATGTCACTGTGTAATCCAATACAAAAATGCCATATATTGAGACACAAACCTTATAAAAATCTGATAAATCATGAAAAGTGCAACTCGCACATGTTATCTAAAAATAGATTCCACACACTACATCATAAACCAAGATGTTTTACATAAAAATGATCAAATGCATACAAAATCATAAACCGTACAAATTTGATAATGAATATCAAGCATTGCAAACAGAATAAACCTATTCCATTATGCGTCCAAGTTGCAGAGAACGAGGTAAACAGGTATGGTAAGAAGCTGCTAGCCAATCAACAATAAGGAAAGGAAAATGTGAAATTAAGATAAAAATAAAACCAACACAAGAAGTTTTGATAATTCCGGATTGCTAAAAAATGTGACAACACACTCCCCGTCTTATATCTTAAGATATAACAATCTAAATTAAACACTTCTATATCTACTTAGCATACACTGATTAATCATCTAATAACAAAACAAGCTCATTGATAGGTCTAGTATACAACACATTTTTTCCATTGCTATGTACTCGGATAACAGCCTTGCGGACCAACTGATCGTCACTCTTTATGGCCTCTTCTACTACTCCAATGGGCCACTGGTCACGAACGAGGCTTGCATCCTTGACGAGAACGACATCACCAGGTTTTACATTCGGTTTCTTGTTGTGCCACTTTCTGCGTTGTTGTAGTTCATTCAAGTAGGTATCCTTCCACTTTCTCCAAAAGAGATCTGAGAGTACTTGAACGTGTTTACAGTCTGCTCTATAGACATCCTTCAGTGAGAGTTGTTCTGAGAACATAAGGGAATCTTCACCTTGTTTCTGAGTGAGAAGAATGTTTGGGCTCATTATTAAGGGTGTCTCTGGGTCAGATGAAATAGCTGAGATTGGTCTGGAGTTTATCACAGCAGACACTTCTGCCATCAGTGTGGGCAGAATTTTATGGGTTAAAGTCTTGGCCTTCTGTTGAACAAGTATTCCATCTAAAATTCTCCGAGTAACGCCTATCATTCTTTCCCACACTCCTCCAATGTGGGAGGAGTGGGGTTCATTAAATATCCAGACTGGTCCTGAGTTGTTTAGATGAGACCTTAGTTGAGCATCTTTCACATTGATTGAGTCGATACCAATCTGATCCGTCGCACCCACAAAGTTCGTCCCTCGATCCGATCTATAGATTTTGATTGGCCTCTGACTGCCGTCACTCGCCTCAAAGCATTTATGAAACTAGAGCTGCTCATTTCATCGATTAGCTCGATGTGCACTGCACGAGTCGTTAAACAGGTGAAAATGACTGCCCAAGGCTTACTTAGAGCGACTCCACCCCGTGTTTTACGGGTTGTGATGTCCCATGGCCCAAAGGTATCCACGCCGACAGCTGTGAAGGGTGGTCCAGGAACCAGACGATCTGTCGGCAAATCTGACATCTTCTGTTCTAGCATCTTTCCCCTGAGTTTCTGACATAAAACACACTTTGCAATTAGAGATGTAATGATTCTCGTTGCTCCTATAATCCAGAATCCATTTGAGCGTATCTTTCCTTCTGTAAATTTTCGGCCTAGGTGGAAGGTTTTTTCATGGAAATGCTTCACGAGAAGCGTTGTTACAACTCCCTTAGGTATGATGATAGGATTCGTAGATGCGAGTCCCAGGCTGTCTCGAAGGTGATTTAATCGGCCACCAACCCTCACCAGACCATCTTCGTCTATGTAAGGTGAGAGTGATATGATGTGACTCCCCTTGTTGAGTGACAACCCTTATCTCAGATTGTTGATTTCCTTGTAGTAGTGTTTTTGTTGTACTGTCTTCATCACAAATTTCTCTACCTCCTTAAGTGTGGCTGGAACTATTGCTTCCTGACAACAATGCCATCCTTTGCAAGATGAGTCGTTTCCTTTATTGCGACACCGTGCATTGTGTTTGAAGATGGCGATCGCATTAACGAGCCCTTTCCATGTTGAGAATCTTGAGAATCGTTCATCCATTGGTAAGTATGTTGAGACGGTGGTCTGTTGCACCTGTACTGGACGGATTTCCTTATCTAAATCTGGTTCAATGAGTGGAAACATTTCTGGTTCATCTTCTGATGTCTCTCTGTTTTTTTAAGATGTGCCGTACTCGGGTCCTTTCAGCCATGTTTGTATGTCCGTCAAAATGTCTTGTGACACACCCCTTGTAGCAACATCTGCAGGATTTAAGTGGGTCGGCACATAATTCCATTGTTCTGGTGAGGTAATGTGACGAATCCTGGCTACCCTATTGCTAACATAGGTGTAAAACCTCCGTGTGTCATTCTTTATATAACCAAAAACAACCCTGCTATCCACAAAATATCTCATTTCAGTCAGAGGTATCTCAAGCTGTTCTGCAAGGAATTGCCCAATTTCTGTCGCCAAAACTGCCCCACAGAGCTCTAAACGTGGTATACTGTTTCCAGCTGAAGGCGCCAATTTGGATTTGCCAATAATGAACTCCAAATGTTGTTGACCCTGGTCATCCATTGTCTTCAGATAAGCAGCCGCAGCTACCGCCTTCTCTGAAGCATCAGAAAAGATGGCTACTTCCCCTACCTTCATCTGACTGTAAGAACAAGGTACATACATTCTGGGAATTTGAAATCCATCTAACAGATTCAGGTCATCCATCCAATTCTGCCAACGTTTCTGATGTGTTTCAGGAAGTTGATCATCCCAGTCAAAGCCTTGTGGACAAGTTTCTCTCAATAACATTCTTCCATTAACAGTGAAGGGTGCCAAAAATCCTATGGGATCGAAAATGCTGCTAACTGCTGAAAGCAATCCTCTCCTTGTGAATGAACTATTCAGATTAGTGGCTGTGAAAACAAAATTGTCCGTATTCAAGTCCCAAGATAAACCCAGACTCTGGTGTAAGGGCAATGCATCGTCACTCAAATCTAAGTCCTTGAGATCCTTCCCAAGGTCTTCCTTGGAAAATTGAGACATCACGCTTTTGTTGTTCGATGCGATTTTGTGCAGTCGGATGTGGCCTTCATTCTGTAAGACTCTTTTGGTGCGTTCGAGTAAACTCACAGCTGCTTCAGGTAAGGTTGTAGATTTCAGTGCATCATCTACATAGAAATTACAGTTAATAAACTCTCTGACATCAACATCTGCTTCTTGCACTAAGTGGCTATGGCAGGGGACAGCCGATTTCCGAAAACATGCACCGTCATACGATACTCAACCATTGGAGAATTGGGGTCATTGTCTTCAAACCAGAAGAACCGCAGAAAGTCTCTATGCTCGGGTATGACAAAGAATCTGTAGAACATCTGTTCAATGTCCGCTGTAATTGCACATTCATCCTTCCTGAAACACAGCAGTACGCCTAACAAACTGTTGGTTAAATTTGGTCCCGTTAGCAACACGTTGTTCAGAGAAAGTCCTTTGTACACTACTGAGGAATCAAACACTCCTCTGATCTGGTTGGGTTTCTTGTGATGATATACCCTAAAAATTGGTAAATACCATCGTCCTGTTGAACAGGTGCCCGCTCTGCTGCTTGGCTTCTGAAGACCTTATCCATGAAGATAATGAAGTGGTTCAGTTTCTCGGGATTCCTTTTGAGATTTGACTCCAGTTGTTGAGCTCTTTGCAATACTTGTGGTCTGTTGTTAGGAAGCCGTGTCCTTTCACTTTTGAATGGTACAGGTGCCATCCATACTCCGAAGGAGTCCTTTCTGAAAGTTGAGTCCATCAACTCTGTGAACTTGAGGTCCTCGTAAGACATCCCTATCTTCTCGTCATTTTGTGTTTTAACAAAAAGAGTCTCTCCGATGGAAGGTTCAACTGGATGCTCACGCACAACAAGTTTCGAACCCCTGACCCCAGGCACATGAATTTCACAATTTTGGTAGAGGACTCAATGCTGATTACAATCATGCAAATAGTTTGACTGCTTAATGTCTAGGAGTAAAGAAGAAGATTTTTTAAGATTGCATTAATTTTAGTGGTTTTGGCCCCATCTTTCAGGCCCCAGGGGGTCTGAAAATGTTCAAATGTTAACACACGACGGACGACGACGGACGAAAACAGATAGCAATAGGTCACCGGAGTTAAATCAGGTGACCTAAAACCCATGGTTTACAGAAGAATGCAATGAAGCGATAAAAGCACGTAAGAAAGCTGAAAGATTATTTAATAGATTACCTACATCAACAAATTTAAGCAACTTTCGCGTATTTTGAGCAAAAGCTCTCAAAACTATTAATTTTAATTAAAGCAAATCCTGGAAAAAAATTGTTTCAAACTTAAATTCACACACCTCAATCAATAAAGGACAAGATAGGGTAACAGCCGAATCTGGCCCCTAATTTGATATAAAAATCAGAACACTGATAAAATTGTGATACTTTGTAGTTAAGAAGTTGAAATGATGCTTACCTTAAAACAAGAACTAATTTTGATTCAAAGCTTATATGGAAGCCACTAGAGGGTGCAAAAATAGGACATTTTCCCGAATTTCCTCAATTCTGGTGGAATTTCACTATATTTGGGATACATTTCTCTTCGGAAAACATAGAGCGCACGCTTGCCTGAGATTTTAACACATAAACTGCGTCTGATATCAGTGTATAAAATACATTGTTTATATATTTGGTAGATAGGCAAGCGTGTGCTCTATGTTTTCCGAAAGAAAATGTGCTGTAAAGTAATGAAAATCTGCATAAAAATGATAAATTTCGAAAATTGACCTATTTCCTGACCTCGCTGTGTTATCATAAAAAATCAAAAATCTCTAGATAAATCTCACAATACAGCTGTAGGACCGGATCAAATAAATTATCAATTAATTAAACATCTACCTAAAGAAAGTAAAGAGTGTCTTCTGTACATATTTAATACAATCTGGGAGGGAGGTCAATTTCCATCTTCATGGACACAAGCTACAATAATTCCATTCCAAAACCTGGAAAAGGACCATGCAGACCCTAACAATTATCGACCAATTGCATTAACAATCTGTTTATGTAAAACCATGGAAAGGATGATCAATGAACGCTTAATTTGGTTTCTTGAAACCAATAACATACTTACAAACATATAATGTGGTTTATCGTATATGAGTTGCGTTTTCCTCTCCTTGTTGCTTTGCAGCTTTAAGTTTTTCCCTCTTTTCATTAATTTCACGGTGAAATTGTTCACTAATTCCAAACTGTTTATTTTCATCTTCCAATTTATATGCGGCCTTTCTCACCATTTCCTTTAGCTTGAACAGACCAAATTTAGCAACAATTGGCCTCACTTTACATGTACATTGCATCCCATCCGATGAACTCTATGAAAATCTACATTTTTATTCATCTCTAATTTTTATCTCTACTGGTCAGAGACCAGAAGAGCTTATGCGATAGTAATGTGTCCGGCGTCCGTCCGTCTGTCTGTAAACAATTTTTCAAAATGCAATTCCTCCTACAGTTTTGGTCTAATTTCAATATAACTTGGCACACAAGTAGACAACACTTAGATACATAATTCTGTGTATCGTTTTTTGATTTCGATGATCGGTGTTGCCATGGTTACTAAAAATAGAAATTTCTGTGAAATTCTTTCAAAATGTTACTCCTCCTACAGTTTTGGTCTGATTTCAGTATTACTTGGCACACAAGTAGACTACACTAAGATACATTATTCTGTGTATCAGATTTTGATGAACGGTGTTGCCATAGTTACTAAAAATAGAAATTTCTGTGAAATTCTTTCAAAATGCTACTCCTCCTACAGTTTTGGTCTGATTTCAATATAACTTGGCACACAAGTAGACTACACTAAGATACATAATTCTGTGTATCGGTTTTTGATTTCGATGAACGGTGTTGCCGTGGTTACTTAAAATAGAAATTTCTGTGAAATTCTTTCAAAATGCTACTCCTCCTACAATTTTGGCTTGATTTCATTTTAACTTGGCATACAAGTAGACTACACTATGATGCATAATTCTGTGTATCGGTTTTGGATTCGTTGCCGTGGTTACTAAAAATAGAAATATCTATAAAATTGTTTCAAAATGCTACTCCTCCTACAGTTTTGGTCTAATTTCAAGTTAACTTGGCACATCAGTAGAATATACTAAGATACATAATTCTTTATATCAAATTTTAATTTTGATGAATGGTTTTGCCGTGGTTACTAAAAACAGAAATGTCTGTAAAATTGTTTCAAAGTGCTACTCCTCCTACAGTTTTGGTCTGATTTCAGTATAACTTGGCACACAAGTAGACTACACTAAGATACATAATTCTGTGTATCGGTTTTTGATTTCGATGAACGGTGTTACCGTGGTTACTAAAAATAGAAATTTCTGTGAAATTCTTTCAAAATGCTACTCCTCCTACAATTTTGGTTTGATTTCATTTTAACTTGGCATACAAGTAGACTACACTAAGATGCATAATTCTGTGTATCGGTTTTGGATTTCGATGAACGGTGTTGCCGTGGTTATTAAAAATAAAAATATCTGTAAAATTGTTTCAAAATGCTACTCCTCCTACAGTTTTGGTCTGATTTCAAGTTAACTTGGCACATCAGTAGAATATACTAAGATACATACATAATTCTTTATATCAAATTTTAATTTTGATGAAAGGTGTTTCCGTGGTTACTAAAATAGAAATGTCTGTAAAATTGTTTCAAAGTGCTACTCCTCCTACAGTTTTGGTCTGATTTCAGTATAACTTGGCACACAAGTAGACTACACTAAGAACATAAAGAGACTTTATCAACAATCATTATTCTATTTAGTTTCAAATCCCAGCTGCTTAAGTACTTTTCTCTTCCTTTGCCGTAAGTTCAAACCAGTAGAGCTTCAGTCTCGACAGAGACTTCTGGTTCTTGCACACGTTTTAATTTATTTTAAATTGACAACTTTCATCTTTAGACTCCGGGATTCCGTAGAGAATCAGTTTGTCTCTCATTGTTCGACGTTGTCTTTCATTGAACGCATATTTCCCAATTTTGCTGGATATATCGTATGGACGTAGTAATGGATTGCTTGATTGATTGTATATTGTTTAACGTCCCTCTTGAGAATTTTTCATAAAGCTTGGTTGTTAGATTACCATTAGTGTCTTTTTCAAGTAAAATTTCCAAGTATGAAGCAGAAGTGTCGGACTCTGTGGTATCTTTTATCTCAAGCTCACCAGGATATATCGTGTCGACGTAGTAATGGAAATAATCATTATTAAATGACAATACGTCAAATGTTGGGAAAAGTCGCATCGCAGCTAGGTTAAGGCCGCCCATAGGAAATAAGCCTTATAATATTCCGAAAAAAATTAATTTAATGTTAATATTTTATTAATTAGCATAAGTTTTAATTTAAAAGGGAACTATACTAATGCATTTGTATATATGGGGTCTCAATCGAGTTCGGCTAACGCGATTTCACGTACATCAGCTGTTTGTCACGTGACATGTTTAAAATTAGAAAAAAATATGTACGGATGCAAAGATCTTAAAAGTTCAACGATATACGGATAATTTTTCACTATGAAATTGATTGTGTTTTATTTAAGACAAATTTCTAAACCCGAAAAGTGCTGGGAGCAAATTCTCACTGCCCGGGAATTATATAAAACTTAGCCGACTTTTGATATGGCCAGCATTTTTTTATTTTTAGGTTTACGAAACTTTTTTATAAATAATTGGGGAGGAGGAGGAAAAAAAAATAAAATAAAAATCGAAAAAAATCTCCGTCGGGAAAAAAAATAAAAATAAAACAATTTTTTTACAATTTTTTTTTATTTTGTTTTTTGTTTTTTTAAAGCGTTTCGCGTAACAATGGGGCGACCCATCTGCAAGCAGGCTGTGCAGATGGGTCTCACTATCCCATGCTTTCTCTTTAAGGCCTCTGTTTCTTGGGTTGTCGCTGGTTCAGTATCTCCACAATAGTAGCAGATATCATCAAACAACTGGGTTTTCCCTTCAAAAGATTGTCAATTTTATAAGACCAACTTTAAAATGAATGTTTCTCCTATACTTTTTTTTAAATGCTAGTAATTTATTACATGTATGTCACTAATACTATTTTATTGTTATTATCAAACTACTATTATAGTGTTCACTTTTAAGCATTAATAAACTGATGTAATATTTTATAATATTTGTTTTTTACCTGCAAAGTATGTTGTTTCAATTGGAGTTTGACAACTCATCCCCTCACGGGCCACAATTGAATCCTGGAATTCCCCCCCAGGAAACAAGGGGCCTCCACACGAGTACAGCAGCTCTTCCTGCAACCTGCACAATGCCCTCTCCTCCGCAGGACCTAGTTTTTTGCTTGAATACACCACCCGTCTTTTCCCACAATCGCAGCACACAACAAAGTCTCTCACCTTGGCTACAGAAAATAAAACATCTATTATAACAATACCTCCTATACCTATCTCTATTTACTGGTACATGCAACTGTAATATATTAAAATGCATCTATGAATAATTTTCAGAGATCAACTTCTTAATCTCCTCGGCAGTTCAATGCACTATTTAATAAAGATTTAGTATTTAAATAATTGTGTTTTAATTTTTTGAAAATTATAATGACAAATACTCACTAGCAACTAAAAGGTTTTTTAGCTCTTTGTCTCTATTTGTCGATGTTGGAACCTTTTCTTGCAAACTAGGTCGGTCTTTATCAGTAGTCGGTGTACCATATATGTCCTCAAATGACTTGTATGCACCATCTTCATTGAGGACAGGGTCTGGTAAGAAATGGAGATCTTTAAAAATCTCCCGAGAAAGGCGTGGTGGGTTCAAAGTGCAGTATGCACAGTCAGCTTTACAACACTTCTTAATCTGTAAATACACAATGTATACCTACATAAAATTTAAAAAAGATTAATATGTAGTTTAACTGGCATAGTGACAAATGACAATTTTAAAACTTTTGCACATGAAGCCCAGTATAGAAAGGTGAAAACAAAATTTTAAAACACATACCACATATATGAAATATGATACCTGCATTACCTGGTAGCTGTAGTGCCTTGATTGTGCATGGTTGGCTAAGAATGCATCGATCTTCTTCGATTTCAATGTCCTTAAATTGGATATATCCTCAGGTTTCACTTCATCATCAATCAAAAGGAAGACGTTGTAGAGATCAACAATCATGTCCTCCTCTGCAGCATCATGAACAACAACATTTTCTCCCTTCCATTTCAGCCTGGAGAATCTTTCTTTCAAAATGTCAATTGGTACATTCATAGCTTCCTTGTATCCCTCCTTTAAGCGTGCGTTTTTAGTTGCAGCATTTCTTAATTTTGACAAAGACGTAAGTGATTTGGTCTGCATTTCAAGTCCAGGAATCATGCGTCCACGCTGAAGAGCAACATTTTGCAGGGCTATATTTAAAGTAGACATGCATCGCTCTGCTGGGTTGTAATAACTTGCTGATGGAGCTGTTCTGATGCAAGCAAAAAAGTCCAAGTCCAATGCAATAAATTCAAGAAGACAGCATAACTGAACAGACCTGTATGTGGTTCTATGATCAGGGCCGCCATCAGTTATTCTCAAGAGAATAGGTTTTTCCATGTCAACATCATTGTGTGAAAAATACTTTCGCACTATAGACACTGTTTCTGTACTATGTCTCAATGGAGACGATGGTTCGAACACCTTTTCTTTCACTGTAACGTGCACTGTGCCATTGTAGAAACTGTCATTTGAATTCTCTGGAACATCAACAATGAAACAAACAGAAGGAACAATACCAGCCACGTGAAAATCATGATCAAGAGCCAAGTTTTGCTTCGGATCAGAAACTAAGCCACCGTGATGTGCTCTGGCACCGGTCGACACTGGTTGCCCTGGCTCTCCAACTGGAATGATGGCCTTGTCATCCAAGCTCTGCAAAACAACATGATTTCTCCATTTGCACGCAAAATCTTTCAAAAGGTAAAACTGATGTTTCCCATAAGGCAGATCAGCATGTTGGACTCTGAGAAGTCTTTGTTGAACCGCAAATTTGATGTTGAACTTTCCTGTGTAATTTTGGGCAGAATTGTGCATCGGATTTGAAGGACAGAAGTTCAACCGAATCCAAGAAGTGGAAGGTGCTGGTGTTCCCTCAGGTAAGCGTTTGATGATCTGATTTCTCAAGTCTTCGACAGACATAGCAAAGGGCATATACTGCGTATCTGTATGTCTCCTTTCATGAACCACTGATTTTTCGTCCAAGTATTTGCCCAGTTCTGTCCAAAAGGGTTCAAGTTTGGGATCACTAATCCTTCCATTATTCTTGCGCAGATCGAAAATCAATTCCGTATCATCCATTTCCAATAATATTTTGCTAGTACGCAAGTCGATCTGTGATGTTTTACTATTTTCAGGAGTGTATTCGTAGTCTGTAAGAAACTGATACATGTTTCTTAAAATTGACTTACTTCCCCCTACATGCTTATGGTATCTCAGAATAAAGTCTTTCTGCATTTGTCTTGTAGCATATTTCGGAATGCTTTCCCTTATTTTGTTGATCATTTGAATTTCCTTTGAGGTAGACTGCTCACTGTCTTGTTCATTAATTTTCCACACTAAATTCACGTTTCCAAGATAGTTACCATATCTGTAGGTAAACCATGAAATGTCAGAAGACAATTGCAAATTATCTAACCACTTTCTTCGCTCAGTTTTGTCCTCTGGCTCAAAGTCAATCAAGTCTTTTGCTGTATACAGGGTAATGTTCTTCATAAAGTCATCAAGTTTCCTGTATTCATCCTTCACATCATTCACCTTTACAAATTTTTTAAGACTCCAGTTGTCTTTAAATTTCTCACAGGCTCTGATTTTCTGTGATTCTGTTCAGTTCTCTCCTTCATTCCGGACAAAAACGACAGATATTTCTGCAGGCCGGTTACAAGGTCCTTTACAGCTGTGTAGAATGATGCAAAATCCTTGCATAAAATCCAAGGAATAAGCAGCAGCTCAGCAAGGTTTTCTGTGTTTTCCTTCAGTTCAGAGGACACCAACTGTAAAATATTTTACATTTTTTAAAATAAAGGTTTAAAAACAGTAGGTCAATGTGTGTCTTCATCCAATTGACATGGATTCAATATAGCATGAATAGTATTGCAAGTAATATCTTCAAAATTGTTACATACCTGTGGAACTTTTTTATGTTGCTTTTTAAAGTCTCTAAATCCAGTTAGTTGACGAAACATAGCAGGAATCGAAATGCTGCGGTCTTTCAGCTTGTCAAGATGGGGATCCAAATACCACATGGTATTTGTTAGGGTGTTGACAACATCCCGCCCAATGGTGTCTATTTGTTGCGACGTGAATCCTATCTTATTTTCTTTCAAAGTCCCAATAACAGCATTTGCAAGTCGATCTTTACTTGTACTTTCATCTCTGTTCAATATAAACGGAAGGTAAACATGACTGATGCTCTACTTTCGATTTGAAAATTACAATAGATAGGTCGTACATAATTTCTTCTTTTACATCACCTACTAAATATTAAAACGTACATTTTTTTTTATCTAAAAACCTTTCATAGAATATTATATATACTTTTTAAGAAAGTGCTAAAATGAAAAGGATTTGATCACGTACCTTCGAGGGGGGTACTGGTCGTAACGTCTCCTCGCCGTCATCAAAATTTGAAAAGCATCTGCTTTGCTGGATACGGAGTTCTTCGCTTCTGAGTCACCTTTCTTTGTAACAAGATTTACAATAATACATTTAAAACCAAAGTCCTGTAAAACTTTGATAGGTGTTTCCAACGGCGTAATAAATGTTGCAGATTCCTCAGAGGCCCCGCTTACAACATGGTCGATTAGCAGATCATTGCGATCAGATTCCGTGTCCAAAATTGTGTTGAGTAGATGGCCGACTGAATCTTCATCTTCGGCTTGTCGAATTGTATTGAATGTATACTTTTTTTCAATGCAACGAAAATGAACTTTGAAGAATGGACGTCCAGTGGCCATTTTGGCGGTTTACTGCAGTGTTATTTTAGGTGCACTTAAAAGTATGACGTATTAGGTTGCTGATGTAATATTTGATCGGAAGAGCTCGGATCTTCACCTCATTTTCATGCACAACGTTATTTTTAGCTATTGCGTCATTGTGCGATCGGAAGAATCTCGGTCCATTTGCCTGTAAATACGGCGTTTTTATTTTTGTATAGAAAAAAAAATAAAGTCGGAGGAAAAAATAAAAATAAAAACGAGTTCATGGTCTTTTATTTTTTTTCCAGTTTTCAAAAAAACAGGGTCGGCGGGTTTGTAAACCGAAATTTCAAAAAATGCTGGCCTAAAGTGTGTGCATTTACACTATACGCATTGAAGAAATGTAAAACTACGGAAAAAATAGACAGCGTACAACTTGCTCCCAGCACTTTTCAAAATAGTAGGGACAGTATCTACATGTGTATAAAATATTATAATTTATAATCAAGCGGATATCGTTGAACTTTTGAGATTTTGGAGGGGTTGTACATGTGATTGTAGTACGTTTCTATATAAAAGTGCATGACTGCGGCTTTATAAGAGACTTAATAGTTATTAATTAAATAAGACTGTGAACTATTGATTAATGCATTCAAAAATATGAATAAATTGTAGTCAGATCACGCTTATATAGATTTAATTTTCATATTTTCAGTTCCACTAAAAGCTTTATCCGCGTCTCAAGTATAGAGAAACTACGTGTCAAACTAGCCTATGACGTTATATCTGTTAGTACAGCGAGATTAAGTTGGCTCTGATTTTACATTCGATTGGTGTTATACTGACAAGATAAGTTACACATTGATTAATATTTACAATAATCATGAGAAAGCAAAGTATGTAAGAGTATATGAAAAAGAAAATTATTATTTATTCGCCGATATTCATTTGTACAGTTTCACTGTGACGTCATAATCGAATTCCCGAGGCTCTGCATACACTGTTCTACCCTTGGGTAGCCCTTAACCTAGTTGCGATGTTCCTTACTACTCTTGTTTTGTTTGAGTCAAGTCATTCCTAAATTCTCTACCTCTGTAGCTCTGACCTCGATAGCGTGATCCTCTAAATGGTGGTCTAAATCTGGATCGTCCTCTCTGTGCTGTTTCAAGTGGGTTATTTCATCTCAATTTATTATTTACATATCAATAATGATCCATCTTTTTCAGTAAGATTGCAAATTGCACAGTTTTTTGGTTCCATTGTGATGAGGAATCTGAAAAAATATTATTGATTCATTATAATACATAAACATAGAATCAACAAATTTTTATTTTACCAAATTAACTGTGAAAAATTACATTTCATTGAAACATATTTCATTACAATAAAAACTAGTGTTAATTGTAACGGGAACCGTTACAGATGTTCCCCAAACACTCCCCAAGTCCCTTTCAGTGCCAAATTCCCTGTAATATACTATATATGAAAGCATTCAGTCCAAAAGTATCAAAAATCACTCATTCAAGTGTATTCCTAATTTCATTAATTCCAAATGCACGCAAGTGCGTGCACGTGCATGACGACCATACCTTCTTGTTGGAGTCCCTTTTATGAATCTATATTCTGAATCCCATCTTGTTTGGTTAAAAAACAAGGGAGTTATAGCAATTTCAAGTTTCAGCCAATCAGATTGCAGCACACGTGCATGCGCGTGATTTCATGATTTTTTTCTATATCGCATTGTAGAATATCCTAATGCATGACTATGTTTTAAATTTCAAAGCATTTCGTCAAAAAACAAAGGAGATGTAGCCATTTAGAGTTTCAGCCAATCAGAATGCAGCACACGTGCAATCGCGTGATTTCTTGAAATGTTTTGTATATCATATTGCAGGATATCCTAATGCGTCACTATGTTTTAAATTTCAAAGCATTTCGTCAAAAAACAAAGGAGATATAGCCATTCAAAGTTTCAGCCAATCAGATTGCAGCGCACGTGCATGAGCGTGATTTCTTGAATTTTATCCATATTATATTGTAGGATATCCTAATTCATGACAATGCTTAAAATTTCAAAGCATTTTGTCAAAAAACAAAAGAGATATTGGAATTTTTGTTTCAGCCAATCAGAGCAAAGCGCACATGCATGCGCGTGAGTTTGTGCTAATTTCACAGTGTAATTTTATTAACACTATTAATATATCCTAATGTACTGAGTCTCAAAGCATTTCATCAAAAAAAATGTAAAAGTTATAGCTACATTAAGTAAATCAGTCAATTCACTCATTTCACGCGCACGCACGTGCAGGCGTATGCGCGCAAAATGACCTTCGTTCCGCACACCTACACTTCACACCTATTAACCCTAAAAAGGTTTTAGCTCAGTTGGGTGAACAGTTTCTGAGAACACTCGCGGACAAAAAAGTACCGGAGAACAAATAAGAAAAAAAAAACTAGAAAGTCTGCTATTGCAAGCAATAGCATATGTCGCCCCGTACTGGACAAGGCTTTGATTTTTATCATCACTAAAACAATGGTCCATTAGCTAAGCTTAGACAACCATCGAGTCGTATCAGTCCTTTCCGTTGGAAACGGAAGACCTTAATTGGGTACATCTCATTTTAATTTTAAAATCGGTAGGAGAAGAAAGTAGTGCAGGAAAAAATTACAAGTTCCTAAATTTGCAGACTTGCATAAAAGAAATTGGGCAGATGTACTCGACTGAGCCTCATACTTGTTAAGTGGCAGTATTCTTCCTATCAATAAAGCTTGGCAAATGTATTTTTTAAGAAGATCAGCCGAATTATTTTGTGTATTATAACGCCAGTGAGAAGTCTGAAATTTCACTTTCATTTTTAGAGGTTCTGCCGGAAAATGAATCTGACATGCCACCTTCAATTCGAGCATTTCTTCATTGTACAGGGCTGATGTTTCTTATGAGATGATAAATCATGTGTAAAGTTTCTCAGTTTAGCGGAATCGTGAACATTTTCGGCGAGATGAATGTTTTGTTTACAGTAGTGATCAAGGCTTAGCGCACCTATAGGAGCGGATCCTAGGATTTATGAATGAATAAAAACTATGGAAATAACGTACCAATTTTCTAATTTATACTTGCACTATCTAATGAAATTAATAATATACAAGTTATAGATATACAAAAAATGCGAAATGCTAATAAATGCAGTTGACAATCGTTATTTTACTATATAGATAAAATAAAATAATTATAACATCTAGAGACAAGACAGAAGAAGAATGAAGGTTGGAAATCACATCAGGAGAACTGAATTTTATGAATGAAACGTTTAAAACGTCACTTGTAAAATGTATATGTTAGATATGTGTATTCTAACTGGCAGTGCGCTTCAAAGGGGGGGGGGGTCGTCTTGAACATAGTACCTTACGTTTGAACGGTTAGGGCTAGGGCTTTCGTATTTCAAATATGTAATCCTTGTGAAAAGAACTTTTATTGGACACGAAGAACTTTGACCCTTTGACCTAGACCTTGGAGAACACATGTGTACATCTTAACCTTTTTTTCTGTTTCGTTTCTATGACAACTGTGAGCGACTCATTACAATTATTTTAAAAGTAAAAATCACTTTGACACATTGCAAGGAATTAACATTGAAAGTTTCAAAACGATTGCTTGAGTAGTTATGGAGAAAATCGAAATTAAAGAATTTTAACATTCCCCTGGTTTCCATGGCAATAATCGATTATTTGAAAATTTTAAATGCAAGGCGCACAACTACAGATACTAATCATTAAAATAAAAAGAGTTTCATGACGAACGTTTAAGGGACCAGAGAGAACACTCTCGGACAAAATTCGTCGCTTTTTACAGGTTTCCATGGCAACGGTAGACATATTGGAACTGAACGACCTCACTGCACAACTACAACCAGTGATCGTCCTTTGAGGAAAGTTTCAGGAAGATTGCCCCAGCCATCTCCGAGAAACAGCCTGGATAAAAAAACATGCGTACAATATCAATATGTCGTCCCCGACTTCGTTCGGGGCGACATAATAATAACTAGAAAGTCTGCTATTGCAAGCAATAGCATATGTCGCCCCGTATTGGACAAGACTTTCATTTTTATCATCACTAAAACAATGGTCCATTAGCTAAGCTTTGACAACCATCCAGTCGTATGATCAGTTCTTTCCGTTAGAAACGGAAGACCTTAATTGGGTACACCCCATTCATTATTTTTAGAATCTGTAGGAGAAGAAAGTAGTGCAGGGAAAAAATTACAAGTCCAAAATTGCAAACTTGCATACAAGAAATTGGGCAGATGTACTGAACTGAGCCTCATACTTGTTCATTGGCAGTATCTTTCCTACCAAAAAAAAGCTTGGCAATATTATTTATTAAGAAGATCAGCCGAATTATTTTGTGTATTAAAACGCCAGTGAGAATTCAGAAAATTCCCTACTTTCACTTTAATTTGTAGAGGTTCTGTCGGAAAACGAATCTGACATGCAACCTTCAATTCGAGCATTTCTGCATTGTACAGGTCTGATGTTTCTTATTAGATGATAAATCATGTAGCCGAATCATGAACATTTTCGGCGAGATGAATGTTTTGTTTACAGTAGTGATCAAGGCTTAGCGCACCTGTATAGGAGCGGATCCAAAGATTTATGAATGAATAAAAACTATGGAAATAACGTACCAATTTTCTAATTTATTCTTGCACTATTTAATGAAATTAATAATATACAAGTAATAGATATACCAAAAAACGCGAAATGCTAATAAATGAAGTTGATAATCGTTATTTTTTATATAGAAAAAAAGAAAATAATTATAAAATCTAGAGACAAGACAGAAGAAGAATGACTGTTGGCAAACTATCAAATCCCATCAGGAGAACTGAATTTTATGAATAAAACTTTTAAAACGTTACCTATAAATTGTATATGTTATATCTGTGTATTCTACCTGGCAGTGCGCTTCAAAAAGGGGGGGTTGTCTTGAACATAGTACCTTACGTGTGAACGGTAAGGGCTAGGGCTTTCGTATTTCAAGTATGTAATCCTTGTGAAAAGAACTTTTATTTGACACCAAGAACTTTGACCCTTTGACCTAGACCTTGGAGAACACATGTGTAAATCTGAATCTTTTTTTCTGTTTCGTTTCTATGGCAACTGTGAGAGACTCATTACTATTTTTTTAAAAGTAGAAATCACTTTGACACATTGCAAGGAATAAACACTGAAAGTTTCAAAACGATTGCCTGCGTAGTTATTGAGAAAATCGAAATTAAAGAATTTTAACTTTCACCTGGTTTCCATGGCAATAATCGATTATTTGAAAATTTTAAATGTGAGTTGCATAACTACAGATA